GGTTAGGAATTTACAACAAAAAATATCAAGCACTAGGTCTACTAGTAAATCTACCAAGTACACCCACCGCATAGGAATATCAGGTCTAGTATAATCAGTGACATATCTAAGACTACCAATTATGTTTGCATAATCTATTTGATTAATTACATCACTTTCTTTTTGTGTTGGAAATAAATGAATGCTTGAATCAAAAGGTGTGCATGCAGGTTTACAATAAAAATAGTTATATTTTTTCAAAATATTTTCTATGTAATGAGATTGATTAAGCATAATTCCATCAACACTCTTTGTGATTTTCATGCCAAGAATCACATTTGCTTGACCCAAGTCTTTCATGTCAAAATTTCTGTTTAGTTAAAGCCTTTGTAGTCTCAATCACATATAAGCTAGTGCCAAATATCAAAAGATCATCAACATATAAACAAACAATAATATGTTCACCATTTTAAGACTTTAAGTAAATACATTTGTCACTCTCATTAGCCTTAAACCCATTAGCTAAAACACACTAATCAAATTTTTCGTGTCATTGCTTGGGCGTCTGTTTAAAGATTTAGTTAATTTATAAACTTTATTTTCATGAACTTGTTGAATAAACTCTTCTGGTTGGTCCATATAAATTTCTTCCACTAGATCACCATTCAAAAAATCTACGTTTACATCCATTTGATGTATTTCTAAATTATGTATAGTAGCTATAAATATTAGCAATCTTATTGATGTAATTCTAGAGATAGGAGAAAATGTTTCAAAGAAATCTAAATCTTTTATTTTTAAACCTTTAGCTACCAACCTAGCCTTATACTTATCTACCGTTCCATCAAATTTAAGCTTTCTCTTTAACACCCATTTGCAACCTATAGTTTTACAACCAGAAGGTAAATCTACCAATCTCCATCTTTTGTTTGTTATGAGTGAATCATATTCATCATTTATAGCTTCTCTCTATTAGTCTGAATCGGGAGATGTTAAGGCTTCTTGTAAGTTGGTTGGATCCCCTTCAACATTATAAACAATGTAATCTGAACCAAAATATTTTCTACTCTACTTCTCTTACTCCTAGGTTCATATTCTTTTTGCTATATATTTTCGGTCAATGATGAACTAGGAATATCACTAGACTTTGACATATTATCATCACCCCCATTATTTTTATATTTAAAAGAGAATTTATCTTCATGAAATATAGCATCTAGTGATTCAATTACCACATTATTCTCTAGGTCTAAAAGTCTATATGTTTTACTAGATAGTGCATAATCTAATGAACACACATCTAGATGCTCTTATTCCTAATTTAGGAATTTTAGGATCAGTCATTCTAACATAAGCTAAACAACCTCATACTCTAATGTAATTCATGTTAGACTTTCTTTTTCTCCACAATTCATAAAGAGTAATTAGATTTTGTTTACAAGGAACTCTATTTATAACATAATTTCCAGTTAAAACTACTTCTTCCCACAAATTTTTAGGTGCACTAGAACTAGCTAACATAGCATTGGTTAAGTTGATCAAAGTTCTATTTTTACGTTCAGCTACACCATTAGATTGAGGAGAGTATGGTGGTGTTGTTTCATGAACTATTCCTAAAGACTGTATATGTTCAATTAATCCAAGTGATTCATACTCTCTACCTCTATCACTTCTAAATCGTTTAATTTTTCTATCAACATGATTTTCTACTTCTTTAATAAAAATGGTGAGTTTTCCAAAGCATCCCTTTTATTTTTCATAAGATAAACATAAGTGTATTTTGAAAAGTCATGATGAAAGTTATAAAATATCTTTTTCCACCATGAGTCAAAATTCCTTCAAATTCATATATATTCGTATGTATCAATTCTAATAATTCAGAATTTCTTTCTATTTTGATATGAGGCTTTTTTTTTATTTTTGTCATGCTACAATATTCATTTTTTTCAAAATTATTGTGTAACTTAGGCAATAAACCTATATGGCTCATATTCTTCAAATATTTGCTATTAACATGACAAAGACGAGCATGCCACATATTCATATAAGAAACAATATAAACAGAAGAAGTAGTTTTATTTATTTCAATATGCAGGTTAAACATACCATCACAAAGCATAACCTTTCCCAACAAATGACCTATTCTTGGTCAAAACAAACTGATCAGATTCTATGATTTGTTTGAAATCAGTTTTATTTAAAAGATAACCAGAAACCAAATTCTTTCTGATTTCAAGAGTGTGAAGAACATCTCTTAGGGTTAAAACTAGGCCAAAGGTAAATTTGAGTTGGACATCTTTCATGCCCTAAACACTCACAGTATGTGAATCACCAAGCAACACTTTTTTATTATTTTCAACGGGAGAGAATGACTTGAACCAAGATTTATCTTGATAGACATGCCTAGGAGCTCCAGAATCTGCACACCACCCTTCACTATTCTCAATAAAATTAACCTCAGTAATCATGGCAACAAGTAGTTCCTCGATCACATTAGCTTGAGGAGCATAACCCCATTTTTTAAAAATACAATCTTTTGCAAAATAGCCAGACTTTCCACACACAAAACAAGCACCATTATTTGAATGATTATTTTTATTATATGGTACTTATTTGGATGTTATTACCTCTAGACTTCAAATAGGCATTGTTTCTATTATTTTGACCCTTAGAGACGTTATCATTAGATGTAATAAAATGTACCTTATTATTGTTTCCATTACCATTGAGATTCCCGTTAGTGTCATTAGTCTTGTCTTGTTTTCTGTCCTCTTTCTTAATTTGAAGCCGAGCCATTAGATTCACCATGCTTAATTCTGACTGCTTGTGACGAAGTCCCTTTTGATACTCCTTCCATGAAACCGGCAGTTTGTTGATAACTACTGCAACTTGCATATGTTCAACTACTTTGATTCCTTCAAACACAATTTCGTGAAAAATCATCTATAAGTCATGTGTTTGAGCAATTACAAATTTATTTTCCACCATATGAAATTTAAAAAAGCGGCTACAAGCATATTTTTTTCATCCCTATTTCTTCTGTGTCATACTTTGCTTCCAAACCATTCCAAATCTTCTTGGCAGAAGAATAGGAATTCGAATAGTAATCATATAGCTCATCGGAAGGAAAATTGAGCAAATAATTGTGACACTTATCTTTATCCGTCTCCCATAGTGCTAAATTCTTTCCATGCTCTACTAACTCTTTTATAGTCATACCTTCCTTGTTCACCTTCTTTGAATTTTTTGCAGTGAGAATCCATGCGACCTTCATTAATTTGAGATAGAACAGAACTTTCTTCGCCCATCTTTTGAAGAACTATCTACTGAATTGAAATAGTTTGTTAAGATCGTTTGACCCAGTAGATGAAATAGTAGAAGTGGCTATTGCAGAATTCTCCATTGCGTTTGAATCATCTTAAATTTTTGAAAAAATTGGATGCAAATAAAGTGAATGGCAGGGTGAGTCGCGGACTAAGTCACTCTCGTAAAACGATTTGTGCCCCTTTATGAAAGAATTATAGCGCAGAAAGCAATAACGCGTCGTCCCTAGAATATAACAGTCCAGCCTATTGATTGTTACTTCACTTCAGATTTTCACAATTGAATGAAGCAAAAACTTCACACACACCTTTCAATATTACCCAGAAACTTGTATAGTAAGAAGATAGTTGATATCAAATTGTGTATCTCTATACTGAAAATATGTGTGTATATATATATATATATACACAAATAATATATGTGTTTAATAGGCTGTAATTACTTCTATATTTAATTGGATAATAACTTAAAAAATATGGTTGTTGGAATACTAGCCGTTAGAGGTTTTTGGTATTCAGCAACTAAAATTTTAATGTAGAAGTAATGACAGAAAATAATTAAACAAAATAATTAATCCTCCTCTTTAATTAAACAAAATAATACTAGCCGTCAGATCGTTTGACGTAGCACGACCTCAACTCATGCGGCCCTCTCGTGGGATGTTCGCAGCTCTAACTCTGCTCACGCGCAGGCAATCTTTTTTTCAGCCTCTAGCTTCATGGCCCTCTCGTGGGATGCCAAAAAACTTGGCCTTAAGAGGCGTGACTCTCTCATAAGATAGCCTCAACTGCTCCTTTGCAGTCTCTCAAAGCCTGCCTTTCTTTTTCCATATCCCTAGCCAAGCTTGATCGTCCTTAAAAAAAGGCAAGGAAAAGTAGCAATCACCTACAACCATTCAAAAAGCAGAACATGAAGGAAAGGAGGCGGGTACAAAATCAAAGTTGAGTAGAAAGGCAAACCATGGAAAACCCCTCTATCACGATATTGATAATGCCCTCTAGACCTCGAGAGCCAACCTCTCTGATATATGCGACAGTCACAAACCCTCAAAGCCACTCCTTGGCCAAATTTATGTCCTGTAGTATGGACATTGAACCAGTACTAGAAGCAGAACAATAACATGGAACTCCAATCCTAATGGAAGGCCTCAGAGGAGTCTCAACTCCTGAAATAGTGGCAGCACTAACCCCAACACTCGAAGGAGCCATATACTAAGGAAGAGTGGGGGCACCCTCTGATCTAGCCTCCTGGGATATAACATGGCCCTCTAACTGCCAAGAGACACTGGGGACATTGGCCTTCGCCCTCTAGGGAGAAAGGGAAGACTCCACCCTAAAAGTATAGGGAGCCTCCACCATAGCTCTATAACAGGGGCGCCTATAATCAGAGACAAGTTCATTATAAAAAATCAGCATCCATAAAACATTAAGGAGAAAGTAGGGCTGGAGAAAGCAATTTTGCCTCCTAGCTGGCCAAAAGCCATCATAGTCTCCCTCTTTGGCAAAACCCAGAACGCCAACCCGACGCACCTGGATGCTTAATAGCTGTCTGCTAGAACCCAATTTCCCACTGCCGTCAGTCTCTCTCTGGCCTCCATGGTTTACCTCACACTGAGAATGTTGTCAAAGCAAGGCGAGCTGAGTCCTCACATAGTCAAGAATACAAAAAGTAGACACAATAAAATTCTACTTTTTCACTCATTTGCCTCTGCCAAGGGTGTCGCCCTTTTCTCTTTTGTCCAGCAGCCCATTGAGTTGGGGCGTGGCATCCCCTTCGAAGCTGCCCATATGAAGTTGGCCCTGACCTCCAACGATGGGTGTCGCCATGGATCGATATGAGTCTCTGCTAGACCTCGTTGAAACATCACTGAAGCCTAGTTTTGGTGGTGACCCACTTCCACTGATTCCCGTCTCCATCTTCTATGGGAAACCATCTATGATTTTAAGGAGTGAAGAAGAATATGTAGTCCTACCTGAAATACAATGGGAAACTAAGAAAGACGGGCAGTTTTGGGGTCTATTTATGTGACCTTGTGAAACCCTGTGAAAAATGACCTAATTGGGGAAAAGTGGGGTTTTTTGACATGGAATCCTCTTCAATCCGATGACAACACATTGAGTGTCCAGTGGAGGAACAGGAGAAACGAGGGGGCTCCCATGGGGAAAAAGGAACCCTTATCTATCCAGAGGCTCACTCATGCCCTCAACCCCCTTCCTCACAACTGGGCTTAGGGCATAGGGGGCAAATGATGAGCCCAGATCCAACTGGGTCAGGCCCAATCTATGGAGTAAGTCCAAATCAACTACAAAAAAGGTCAAGCCCAACTCATAGATTCAGCCCAATCTAAAGTTGAAGGAGTCTAGGAAGATCAGCACACATGAGGAGTACACCGGGATAAGTATTACTCGAAGATCAAGACTATCTTTAATTATACTTATCCTTAGTTATTGCAATCCTCCCCGAAGGACTAGTCACCTAATCCTGCACTCCATCGCCTCAACTAAGGCACTATGCTTATAAATTGTAGCCCTCTACTTATGAGGGATACATCTCTACATCTCACACATATCTATCTCTCTCATAGCTACCTCACCACACCTAGAGTTTACTCGTGCTCTCCCCTCAACTACTTTACCAATAAAGTCCTCTAGCCGCATTTGCTGCTTTTAAAATTGAGTAGGTCACCCTGACCGAACCACTCTATATATGTATATTGCCTATGTTGATCTCAACTTTATATTTATTGTATTTATTACCCATATTAATTACTTGACTGTTGATTATGCATAAATCCACTTTTGTGCATCATCAGTAACTATTTTTTTTTTTGCTACATGGTATTTTTTTTTTGTGCCAACTACTTACTCAAGCTCAGTGGTAAGCTATTGTAACTTAAACTAAGTTAGAACATATCCAATTGTGGCTAACCCTTAAAAGATATGTGAAGAGATTAAATATGAGACCTCTGAATTACAAAATGTCAATCACAACCACTGAACCACCCTAAGGGTTCCAAGATAACTATGTTACTTACGATTAAGTTTTCTCCTTTGATAACGTTGCTTACACATCACAATAAAATGATTTAACCTTCACCATTACCAATTTTTGAGTTCTACGTTCACACCCCACCCTAGTCTGCACACCTATTTCCAACGAGAAAATTTGATGTACCATTTGGTAACGATATTTTAATTTTTAATTTTTTTTGGTTGACTTTTTGGCATTTTGTAAGAACTTTTTCAAAGTAATGCTCCTTTTTTCAATTTAAAATTTTTTTTTCTTGGTTCGGATTTGTCCCCTTCTTGTAAGTGTAATGAAGTGTGTATGTGCTTACATAAAAAAAACAAACTATGTAGAAACTAAAGGTGCGTTGGGTAACGTTTTTGTTTTTATGTTTTTTTCATTAAAAAAAAAGAACTATTTTTTTTTTTTGGTGATAAAAATTAAAAATATAAAATATGTTTGGTAGTCATTTATATTTAAAAATTTGTGAAAATAAAAATAAAAAATCTGTTTTGTATTATTCCAAAAAGTCACCACCCAATCCCACTGACCAACCAATCCCACTAACCACCCAAAAACACTACCCAACCCCACTGACCACCCAACCCCACCACCAAAACCCACCCCTAACCCGGGTTTTATCTAAGTTTTTTCTTGTCTCCACAAATATATAATAAAGCTAAGGGCCAACAACCGACAGAGAATTTCACTGTCATGAAAGATTAGATTAGATTGTTCAACCCAAAGGATTGCAAATATAGTTAAGATTAGATTAGATTGTTCAAATCAAAGGGTTATGATGGTGTGTAAAATGCAACAGAGCAAAATTTGTGTGCTATGCGGTTTGATCTAAGCAACAAGGCTCTTAGGAATAATGAAGCCACTGTCAAGTAAAAGGGTAGTTTGCACAGAAGATTTATAGTGGTTCACCTGGTCGGGAGCTCAGCTAATCCACTATTTAAGGGAGTCTCTTGCTCCTCAAAATTATATTAAAGGTTATGAAGAGATTACACAATCTTCTTAGTGTTATTTCGATTGTCTGCCTCAAAGTGAGGACTTTGTACAATATTTATAGCTTAGTTTCTAATTTCATGGGATCTGGGGTGAGATCTTCGCCTCTCTCTTGTTACGCTCTGCTTGATTTTAGGCGTTCGTTTAGGCGATTGAGGCTCTTACGCCTAGACTGGCGTTTATTGGTTGCCAGCTATTTTTTACTCATGTTCGTTGAGGCGCAGGTCGAGGGAGCCTAAGTTTTGAACCTCCAAGCTTGGGTTTTTCTGGCTGAGGTCAAGTTTTCCTAGCTCAGCTCCCTTTTCGACCTCGATGGCCCAGCTCAAACTTGGAATTTTGCTAGGCATCATCAATTGCCCCCCAATCCCGGGTCAAAGTGAACTTGAGCAGGGGTTGGGTCGAGTTGGTTCTCAATAGGTTGACCTCGATTCACACGTAATGGGACTCCATTCTGATAGTTTTTTTGAATATGCAATCATTCCTTCCTTGTTTCTCGTGCACAACCCGTATTTTGATGACCCACATACACTAAGCTTTAAATGCTCCATCGACGAGGAAAACGACCTTACTTCCCCTCTCTTCTTCCCTCTGGCCTTGCTCTTTCTTCTTCCTTATGACTTTAGTTTCCTCAATCTGCTGGTGACCTTAGGGTTTCACTGAAAATTGACTTCCCTCGATTTGGTTTGAAGATTCTGTGAGGCTTACTCTCCGATTTTGCTTTGGGCTTTGGTTTATCGTTCGTTCTCAATTAGGTAAAGCTTGTTGAGTCTTATTCATTTCTTCATTGTAGATCCCTCGAATTCGAGGTAGTTGCTACTTTTTTAGACCTTTCATTTTTGCTACTTTAAGAATCGAGGCTACTCCTTGTCCTCTCTGCCCCTCTTTCTGGATCCTTACTCCCCTGCTAGAGTCTTCCTCATTGCTCACTATTGTCTTGACCCTCTAATTCTCAGAGATTGTTTTGCTAGTGTACCCTTTCCTTATTCCTCCTTTTATCTCCCTTTTTCCAACCCCATCATCTCTGGTTCCTTCGAAGCTACTGTTTCATCGGTTTCCCTTCCCAGGGGCGAGAGGTCTTCTGGAGAAGAGGACATCGATTTAGGAGACATAGGTGAGGAGATTGATAATTCTCCTGATATCGATTTCTGTCAATGCTAGGGAAAAAACCAAGGACCTCCCCCTATCATTTTCCCCTGTGCCCAAGAAATTCAGAAAAGGTAAAGTCAAAGTGAGTGGCATCGGGATTTCTGGCAGCACTGAGGGTGCAGAGGTTGCCCCCAGAGCTTTAGAACTCAAGGTTTTAGTGAGGTCACGCCCCCTTACATGAGGGTTTGTCTACTCATTTTGAATTTCCTCAAGTTGTGCAGTACTGGTGTCCTCATGTGGATGTTAGGTACAACTCTCAGATCCCCAAAAAGGTCTGTTTTATAGTGGTCGCTCTCAAGAATGACCTTTGTGTCTCAGTACACCCCTTTCTTAAGGGCATCCTTCAACATTTTAATGTTTACCCAACTCAACTCTCCCCCAATTTTTGGGGTATTCTAGTAGGTCTCCTTATTTTCTTTAAGAAGCATGAGCTTGGAGTTCCTACAGTGCCTTTGCTCATGAAATTCTTCAAGGTCAAGTTCACCCCTTCTGATGGCTGCCTATACATTTCTAAATGAGTAAAATTCTGAGTCATCCTTATTGACCTCTCGTGCTCCCACAAACATTGGAAGAAGTTCTTTTTTTTTTTTTTGTGTCAAGAAGAGAGTTGGAATACAATCGTGAAGATGTAACTGACACCTCCCTATACCCCGGGCTTAGTCTGCTCCTAATAATCTAGGTAAGCCTTGCCTGAGTAAACTTGGTTTAGCCTTGACGATTTATTTTACTGACCTTGTTCTACTTGTTTTACTTTTTAGGTGTTCGACCCAAGCTCAGTGCTGAGGACAAGCTAGTTCTGCTAAGGTTAGAAGATTGTGATCCATAGAAGTATTCTGATCTCATCAAGCCCGAGGTGCTTACTGAGCTTCGATTTAATCCTCTAGAGGTAAGGGTTGAGACTCCTATTCCCCTTTCTGTTGTTGGTGCAGAGGAGGCTGCAGGTAATTCTCCCTTTCTACCCTTAACTTCTATTTTACTATTTTTTTAATCTGTTTATTTTGGCTTCCAGGTTCTAGCTCAATGGGCCCGGGTTCGAAGGCTTTGAAGGAAAAGGTTGACATGTTAAAGAAAATCAGGAATGAGAGTAAACACAAAGTCGAGGTCAGATCAGGAAGTGGTTTTGTCCCCCTAACCAAGGTGTCGAGGTCAGAGGTGCCTCCTACTTCTCCCCTTTCTTCCCAAGTGGCTCTTATTCTACAGCCGAGCTCACCAAAGACCGCAAAGACCTCACTTTCTCAAGGGACTTTGCCTCCTCATCTGGAGGGGATCCTGAGCAAATTGCAGTTCTGACCTCTTCTTCCTCGGCACAACGTGAGGGAGCCTTGGAGACAATCGCCCACATTCTACCCAGGTCTACCCCCTCTAGATTGGCTGAGAAGTCTCATCAACTGCTCTTAAAGGGTGCCAAAGTTGAGAAAGATGAGAGCTCCCTCATTGATAATGTGAAACTTGCTACGGAGGCCATTACCTCCATCATCCTTGTGTCTGATATAAAAAAGGTTGCCACTTAGAACTTTTGCCACCACGGCCTTGTAAGGAGCTACTTCGTTGAGTTTTTGATCTTTTCAAGTTTTATTTTTGTCTTACGTCGCTACTTCGTGTTGACTTTAGCTTTTGGTTGTATCTGCTCCTAGTTAGCCATTCATATGAGTGCTTTGGTGAGTCAGATCAGAGCTCTAGAGAGCTTAGCCAAGGCGTTGAAGGCCTTCGAACTCAAGGCTGCCGAGCTGACTTTTGCCAATAAAGATCTTGAAGCTCAAGTTCAAGACTTGTGGGCTCAAGTGGAGAGGTTATCTTCTGCCAATGTGGGTTTGGAGGCTAAGAAAAGGAAAGCTATGGAAGAGGTCAAAAAGACCAAGGAGGAGCTTAGGTTGAACACTGACGACTCGGCTAAAGCTAGCAAGGAGACCTTTATGGCCTTTGATTCTTATGAGGCTATGAAGGGAGAATACAACCTTCTAGTTAAAGTAAATGACACTCTTCGGAGAGAGATTGAGGTGGAGAGAGCCGCTATTAAATAGAAGGATGCTCTAATTGCCAAGTTGGAAGATGATGTTACTGCCAAATGGGCCACTGGATGGCTTACTTTTCAATATCAAGTTGTGTGAGGGTACCTAGACTTGGACTTTGATTTTGATCCTCCTTCAGATAAAGAGGAGTAGGTGCCAAGTGTTGAGAAAGAGACTTTGGTTTAATCTCCCTCTATTTTAGAGATTGCTCCTGGGAGTGTTGAGGTATCTACCTCTTCTGCCAAGGTCCTTGCCCATGTGGATTCTTCTACTCCAGCTTCTACCTCTGTGACTGCCGAGCTGCCTGCAACTCCTGCTGACCTTGTTCTAACTATTGCTCTTGAGGCTCCTGCACTATCTAAGGTTCCCCTGATCCTACTTCAACCAATGCCCCTATGGCTCCCGAGCTGCCCGAGACTTCAATTAACCCTCCTGCGAGGGTTTAAAGTTCTGTTGTGTTTTGTTTCCCTTTCTTGTAAATAGCTTCATAACTGTTATCTTTGAGAAATAGAAAAACATTTTTATCCAACGTTCTTGCACTTTTGCATTTTTTGCTTTTTAAATTGCTATATTTATGATTGTTGTGTTATGTTCTTGCATTCTTTCTGTTCTCCTCTGCCCTTTACTTCGAGGGGAACTTAGTTCTTCTTGAAATAGATTTGCTAAGTCTGGATGAGCTGAAAGGCTGAAGAGCTGAAGAACTGTAAAGTTGAATGGTTGAGGCCTTAACTTGGAACTGCTCATTCCTGGAGCTGGAGTGCCTACCAGAAACAACGATTTTTTCTTGGAGAGCTCACCCTCATGATCTGAAGAGTTCAGCCTATTTTTCGCATTGGAGCTCTTTCCCTAGTTATTTCTGTCACTTTTTCTAAGTTCTGCTTATGTCAAGCTAAAGATCACATCTTCAGGCAGACCTGAGCTGCTACT